CCCCCCCCCCCCCCCCCGATGAAATCTCCTTGGCCATCAATATACCAAAAGAAATAAAATATATGGCTCATTTCTAGGATCACAAATCTTAAAGGAAAAAATCTACCCACACAAGAGAACCACCTTGGTAGGTATTACAATTTTTAAAAGAAGAAACATTAACAGCTAGACTCTATGCTTTATTCCGTAAACACAGTGTACAAAAAAAAAAAAAAAAAAAAAAAAAAAAAAACTTAATTTGGGTAATTTTGTATAACAATACAGCTTTTACCATCTTTATTGAAAGAAGCATTTATAAGGAAGGGGGGAGATCTTACAGGCTTAAGAATTATTACTTCCATCTTTTCATGAATTTTGGTCAATGTAGAGTGTTGGCACATGAGAGCAGTACCAGTACGCACAGACCCAAGAAATCCCATCTGTCAGCTGCACCCAGAGCATCTGCCCTGTCATCAACACACACACAATGCAATAATTAATAATAATAATAATATAATGACAATAGGAACGAACTCACAAGACACTGTATTGTAAAACAAGTGGAATATAATAATAATTATAATAATATATATATTTATATATAAACTTCAATAGACAGTCCTTTTTAATTTGCTACTGCCTAAAAAATAATAATGGGGCACATTTACAGACAGACATTGCTTGTGGCACTAAGAGGATTAAGGACTGACCGGCGGACTGACAGTCAGTCTGACATCATTTTGGGACTGACCCAGTCCAGTTAAGTATTGGGCTTCGGCCACTGCTCCCCTTCCAGCCCAGTCCAGACATTTTTAATGGTTCTCTGACCCCTGCCAGTCACTTCAATCTGCAGAGTGCTTTCACTTAGCTTATGCATGGTAGCATCTTCTTTACATTAGGAACCAAAAGGTCAGAAGGTTCGCTTGGTTAATGTTGGTCTGTTTCTGATTTCCTGCAACTAGTCCAGTTTCGTTATCAGTGATTAGATCTGAGCATTCCCATTAAATTTGTCTGTCCTGTTGGTAAGGGGCCGTAATCTCACAAGCCACAATATGCAGTCATTATATATCCCCCCTTCCATATAGCTTATAGGAGAAAGAACAAATAATAATAATAATAATACAACAGCACAAGTGCTACACATGTGCAATTTGGAAGAAATAAAATGTCAATGAGATCTTGTGGTTACTTAAATTTTTTTGTTTTGTTTTTAGTTTTTTTAATCTTTTTCAAGCTGGGCATGGTGCAAGGCCTTTCTTGGATGAATACAGACAGAGAGGGCCCTCTGCTGGCAGTGTATGGCCTGTCTTGCATTATATACAACAACACCACTGCCTTCAACTTGGGAAAAGTATCACCGGTCGGTCGGTTGTCCTGCACCCTGCCTTGCTCCACTGCTGTTTAACTTTGTAACTGTGACAGCTGTAACCATGGCAGGAACAGCCACATTGGAGTGACCTTGACCTATTGTAGGTCACATGAACACATTGAGCAAGAGGACAACATTCTACTGTACTTTGCCAATTTCTCTTAGCTGTGGTAACTAAACCACAGCAAGAGATAGCAAAAAAAATTGCCAAAATTATAAAACAAATCTTAGGATGCCAGAGAGCACTCCTATTGGCTGGCTTTTTATCCACTTAGAAAAAACTAAATGGCTCGTGCGTGACTGCATCACAAGTTGCTTCTTGTTGTCCCCCCATTTGATGTCAGTGGTGCCCCCGAAGACGAGGTCAGCGACGAATCATTCGTCAAGGAGGAGTCAGAATATGCTTCTAAATTAGCAATAACTTCACTGTATTCTGGGGGTAAGTCATTTCTACTTCCGCTGCTACTCCCACTTGTGTGTCGTGAGTGCTCTCCTCCTCCTCCTCCAGCACTAGCACTAGTACAACTACAGGGTCTCTGCACAAGTTCCCTGTCTCTAAGATTGCTATGCATTTGACACGATAAGCTATTACAGCGCACAACAGTTGGGGTGCTATTACAGTCTCGCACCAAACGCCCCACCATGGATGATGAAGACGACGATGATGTCGACGGTGCTTTCCTTCGTTGCTGCCACTCTAGCAGTCCAGCTGAATGTGATCGGTACGGCGGAGGGCTTTCACCGTCAAAGATTGTCTTATTTGGGGGAGGGCGGAAGCACTCTCTCTCCAGCTCCTTACTGGGATTACAGGCAGAGATTTGTAACAGTCTCCGGCTAGTCACATAGCCCTCCTCGCCATCTTCAGAGATCGGGATGGAGGGTGGGAGCTCCATATCCATATCCATCTGTACAGACTGATATCGAATTTGTCGTTCCCGTTGCATTGCTATCTCACGCTCAAAGCGACTGGGAGGGGTTGATGGGATTGGAGGCACATACATTACCTGCAGAAATAAAAAGAGTGGATGTTAATAAATGCCTTCCACACACTAATACATGTACAAGCCTGGCTGTCAGAAAACTTTCCACTACTGCAGCAGCTTCTGACAACACAAGCTATGTGTGTATAAATAAGAGGGTAAATGATGTAAGTACAACCTGCTGTACTTTGATATCATATGCAGCCAGGGATGGTTGCACTTCTCAGGAGGTGAATGACCCTTATGCACTACACCTGGAAGCATGGGTGAGATTGCAGGGATAGGGTTTTATTTCATGGGATTCCGTTATTACCAGTGTTACAAAAATGGAATGATGAATGTTCATTTATTTATCATACCTCAGGGCTATCAATCTAGATTTTTGTTCAGACAAATTTTGCTTGAAAACTCCTTTGTTTCTCAAACCCAGGAGATATTTCAAAGCTGGCATAACCCTTTGCTAGTTTGACTCTTCCATGTTCACCTTTATTTTCATCCTGCCCCCCCCCCCCCCCGGCCCCTCCCCAGGCACCTCTCAGCAGTGTTCACAACTTGGTCAACTTAGACCATTACAGGAATGCTTGGTTTCTTACCATGGGGTTTCCCATTTGCCTAGGCCTTTTGGTGATGTAATTTCACCATATTTCTGGTCTACCTTAGTCTTTATGTGAACATGCCCTTCCTTTCAATAACCAATGTCTGCACGCAAGCAGCAATTCCTAAGAATTAAGGGAATCCAATATTCCGATAAAAAATTACAACGATAAGCAGCCAAGATTCCTGGTATTCCTCTGACCCAGACAGATTAAGTTCTTTCCTGGAAACTGACACTTCTAACTCCCTACAGTCAGAATCGGTTTTGTAGAGAGACAAAATGGTCAATTTGGACACACTGTATATACATTTCCACAAATAATTGCACTCACTACTTAACTTGTATAGCACAAACACAAACATTCATTTGCTAGCGATAATAAAGAATTTCAGAGACCAGCTTTCAAAGATGGTAAGGGTTACTTGAAGGTTTGTTCAGGCACACAATAATTGAAGAAGACTGTCTGTCTGGAATGGACTAGAGATGTCTCAGGGAATAAATTACCCATAGTTGCCTAGCAACAGTACAGTGATCAAGCACAAGGGTCAAACAGTGCACTGACTGCCCACTCTGGTGGGGGGGGGGGGTAGAGAGAGAGAATTTGTGCTTGTGAATATTTTAAATGGGAAAGTGGGGAAAAAACTAAAAAAAAAAAAAAAAAATTACAACCCATTTCATATAGCCATTTACATTCTTATCTTTACAGCCTGTTTTCTAACCAGGCATGACATCAAAGCAATTTACTTATAAAGAAAACTGCTTACTTTTAGGCTACACCAGCACACACAACTTAGATTATGACTCAAAAACTCTGCCCATTCAACAACTGCTCTGTCCATTTTCATTAAAACTGACAATCCAACTTGTTTGTAGATAATTCCACAGCTGTTTTTTTTTCATAACAGTCGCCCAGATTAGAAAGAAAAGTACAGATAGAAAGTATTTCAAGCTCAGATGGACATTAAATTATGTTACAGCAATTTCTGCTCAATTTAAAATAAGTATATACCATATTACATCAACTTCTATTGAGAGAGAGAGAGAGCGAGAGAGAGAGAGAGAGAGAGCACCTGCTTTGTGAATCACAGCCCCTTGCTCCTGTTTCGGCAGTATTAAAAACAACGCAGTTCAGTAATGCATTCCTGAACCCCAAAACAGAACATGACATTACTTTTAATGCTCGTTAATTCGAATGGGGTAGAGGTGCAAAAAATTATTTACCAATTAGCGAGCTAGTGACGTTTGAAAAGTTCCATTGAATAACCCTTTTGTACATGCACATAAGTACAACTAGCCTATCATATATACAACTTTCCCCTAAAATACTGTTGCATATATTATTCCAGAATGTAGACAAGCTCTTTTTTTTTTCTTCTTCCACTGACAGGCAAAGGGATAGGGCAGACAGTGTATTATGAAAAAGGGCACAAAACTCAGCAAGTAAACAAGTTTTTTAACATGCCTTTTCAATGTTTGGTGACTAGTTGTTGTCATTTTTTCCCCTGCTACACAATCCACAGATATATAAATCCTTTTTTAAATAATTGTGCCATGTAAAGGCAGTAATGTGGAAACAGTGTATGATATCTAATTTAAACTGCAGAATAAGCAACTTGCTGTTTTTAGGTTAGTTCAAATTTACTTTGTGCATGTAAATGCCAAGGTTGCTATAGGCATTTCAACATTTAGGTTTCTTTGAAATTGGTCTTTTCTAATGTTTATTACAGCCAAACCCTCAATGCAGAGACATAAATGTAACACTGAAACAAGAGCAGACGCAGTGCAATTTCTTGTACAATAAATTTGAAGGGGGCGTCTCGATAGTCCGAAGGTTCATTGGTCCGAAAAGTGGTAACATTTTCATAGATTTTTTAATCAAGGATTCATTGGTCCGAAGGTTCTATAGTGAACATTCGGACCAATGAACCTTAGGACTATCGCTACGGCCCCAATTTGAAATGTTATCCAAAAATGCGAAATGTTAATGAGCTCATCATATCAAAACAATGACCCATTTCTATCTATTCAGTTCTACTGGAACACATTTCCCTAACCATAAATTTGAAAAACACTTTAAAAACATGGCAACATTACTAACATCAGAGATGAAAAGAAAATTCCACATGTAAGTACATATATTCATATTAAGTGTGCAAAAAAAAAATTTCCAATTTCTTGGAAAAAGGAAGAACCTGACATGCAGGTTAATGCGTTAATATAAATTGCTTCATTAATATCTTATATCAAAGTGAGCAGTAGATCATCATATATATCACAATTACAGCTGTGACTGATATATGTTTATATCTCAATTTTGGGGGCGTCTCGATAGTCCGAAGGTTCATTGGTCCGAAGGTTCATTGGTCCGAAAAGTGGTAGCATTTTTATCGATTTTTTAATCAAGGGTTCATTGGTCCGAAGGTTCTATAGTGAACATTCGGACCAATGAACCTTCGGACTATTGAACCTTCGGACTATCGCTACGGCCCCTAAATTTTAGCTAAATGTCTGAATTTATGCCATACAAAAATCAAAATGCTGGATTATATATATATAATCAATCATTATCTTTTCATTTTCGTTTAACATTACTCCATCATGATTATAAAAGAGCAACAGAAAAAAAAAAACATCCAAAAGTCAAAAATTTATACATCATTTCTAAATCATGATTTTATTTCAAAGTCACATAATTAGGATAATTAAACTGCAGTTATAAGGCTGATAGTGAGAAACAGAAATCATAGACATGAGTTTTAGTCTAAAAAAAAAAAAAAAAAATTAATAGTACATACCCGTTTGTATGCACCAAATATTCAGATAGCAGCTGGCAATCCCAGCATGCTTTAAAATCAATAAAATATGACCAGCAGCTTTTTTCCCCCCTCTTTCTAAATAATAAGACCAAAGAACTCTGGGTTGAACTTTGCACAAGGTCATACCTATGGGTCCTATTTAACTCCCGCAGGCAGTGGATGGCTTTTCTAATGCAACCATATAGCCAGTGACCAGTGTGGCTTTTTTCCTGTCTGGTGAACTCCAGGTCAGACTGTCTGATTCAGTTATAGCACAGGGTCACTGGGTTACATAACACCTCAGATCTGTGCTCTCAGCTGACCTTTGCTAGTCTGTTCACCACCAGGCCTGTTTACACAATGCGCTGCCAGGGTGGATCTGACATGCTTTTAATAGTCGACAAGTTTATGAAAAGGGCTAGTGCATTTCATGATGATTGGGACCCAACATCTATACAAAGATGCGTCACTTTTTTAGTTAACTTACCCAACCTTTTTAAAGGAAGACAATGCCTACAGCGTGCTTTCAACAAGTTTAACAGTCCAAGATTACTGCTTCTTAAGTATTAAATGTTACTCTCTGATTTTCAACAGGTTAACAGGGGCCTTCATAACTACGATGCATCCATCGCAAAAAAGGGGGCCACATGATTGGAGGTGTAAAAACTGATGTTCAGCAGGTTTATGGAGGGGGAGGGGGTCTTTACTTAGGAACATTACAAATGGGGGCCAAATTATTGCAAACTGACACCAATGAGTCTGCACCTAAGGTACATAATTAATCACACCTACTTCTCACCATGGTCCAGTCTGGCTGTATGGATGAAACTGACCACTACTGACCACAAGAGGTCACTGGGGACCAGTAGAGGTCAGGCTGTCTGAGAAGGGCACTGAACCGGTGGTCAGAAAATTGCTAGGTTCTGATAAATGGGCTAGGTCAGACTGTCTGTCACATTAAGAGGGATACATGTGTCTGTCTGTCCGTCTGTCTGTCTTAAGGAATACACACATTTTGATCCTCCAACAGGTGATCAAAATTATCCTGTCCGTCATGGGTAGAAGATCGTTAAAAAATAAATGTGAACATGTATGTTTTTGTCTGATTGGATGATGAAAGGAAAAAATCAATTCACGAGAAAGTTCGCCCTACATGTATTTTACAATCATATTGTAGTCTGTCAGTCTATCTGGCTGTTGAATTATAGTTTATATGTGTGAAATTTAAGTTTTGTCATACTGAATGTTGCAAGGAAATATTTTTCCAATTCACTGCAGTCCGCACTTAGGATAATATCAAAAATTTTTATTGTTATATGAGAAGGTGGTTATATCAACCCGTTTGTCAGTCTGTCTAGTTAAACTGTCAGTCCACCAGTCAATAAATCAATCTGTCTGTCTCTAAGTCAGATATTGGCATATCTGAAGATATAACAACAAACTTTCAGCAATTAAATAACATCATGGGCAAATAAACCTAAGACCATATGCAGCTATGCTGCAAAAACACTTTAGAGCGAGGGAGGGAGGGAGATAGAGAGAGAGAGGAGGAGAGAGGGCTTACAATCAGCTGACATGGATTGACATCCTCCTTAATGGCAACATGAGTTAGTATGGTAGACCTTTTTTGAAGA